AAAAGAGGTCGCATCCTACATGAGCTGTCTGGACACATTGGTCGCCTGCAGACGATAGATGTGAATCGATCTGAAGACATCTCTATTAGCAGTCGTAAGCTCTACCCATGTACCACACTGTTACAGTGTACTTATACAAATACTTGATTTTATATTTTTTGGAATCCTAATATTGCCCTCAATGATAGAAGTTTAAATTGAATAGACGTTTTAACTTTTCTATTATATATATATATATATATATATATATATATATATATATATATATATATATATATATATATATATATATATATATATATATATATATATATATATATATATATACAGAGAGAGAGAAATATAGAGAGATAGAGAGAGAGAGAGAGAGAGAAGAGATAAAAGACAAAGAGAAAATCTGTTGATCGTTTTCCTTGCCGTCCTGCTTCACTCACATGTTACATTTGTTAACACCTGCTGTCCACGCCTGATACAAGTGTTAACATCTGCTGTCCACGCATGTTACATTTGTTAACACCTGCTGTCCACGCAGGTTACAATTGTTAACACCTGCTGTCCACGCCTGTTACACATTGTTAACACCTGCTGTCCACGCATGTTACAATTGTTAACACCCGCTCACTACCCGTCACGGTTGACCTCTCACGCTTCATTAGACACAGATTTCCCCCTTATTACTCCATCAGCAATGGACCGTGGAGAGGACCGTCACAGCTAATTAACAAACCTACTCATGCAATAATTCCCATCTTAACTAGAACTAAAATGATTTAGCTGGAAAACTTCACCATTAGTACAAAACACACTAAGTATGAATGACGCAACACTTGTTTAGTAAACAAAAGACAAACACACAAGGATCGTAATGAACTGTACACTGATCTTTAAAAGAATAGAAAATACACGTATGTTGTAAAATATATGCAGAGGATGTGATTTACTCTTTAAAGATATGCAGTAACTTTTCTAGTGGAAATTTCATCAAATACTTGGTTGAAAATCTCAGTGCAAATATGCGTTGTGATGCACTAGTTTATAAATTATAGACATACGAAGATATAATGTAACGAGAGCATGGTGATATAACGAATTTAACAGTTGAATACACACGAATTTATCGCATGAAGAGACACGGATTTGTGAGCTTTTAGACACACAACTTAACTAGTTGAATAAAGACGAGCTTAGCAGTTAGGGGTCATCCATAAATGACGTCACACTCGTAGGGGGGAGGGCGGTGTCCGTAATTTTGTGACGATGTGTGATGAGGAGGAGGTGGGGGGGGGGGGGTTCAGAAGTTGCGTCGTCACATATTTGAATTATAAAAAAGCAATGTTAGAAAACTAATATTAGACGTTATTTCGCGTTTTAGATAACTGTTTTAATAAATTGTAATAGTTTAGATAAGATTTTAGAAAAAATATCGATGTTTAAAAAAAATTCAACTGCAATTTTGAGAGGGGTTGTAGGTTGAGGTGTGACGTCATTTTAGGGGGGGGGGGGGGTTCTGGCTTTTTGTGACGACGTGTTAAGGAGGGGAGGGGGGAGGTAAAAATCGTCAAAAAAAAGCGTGACGTCATTTATGGACGATCTCTTAAGAACAGACGAACTTTATATTTGAGGAACATACCAGTTGAATATACGATATACTAGATGAACTTGAAGATACACAAATGTACCATCTGTATACACGAATATACCTGTTTAAATATACACGATTACTCCAGTTGAAGATACACGAATGTACCATCCGAATATACACGAATATATCTATTGAATATATACGATAATACCTGTTGAATTTATACGAACATACCAGTTGAATATATACGTATATACCAGTTCAATATACACGAATAAATCAGTTAAATATAC